ATTTGTGGCCCCATTATTTTTATTATTTTCACACAATATCACAATTTGGCAAATTTTTTTGATTGACGTATCGCATTCACGATCTGTTTAAACGTTTTTAATTGATTTGTGTTGGGTGTTAAATGAAATAGTGTGTGAAAGATATATTTAATTGCAATTAAATGAAAATATTCAGACAGACATGGAAACTGGCAACCTGCAACCGCCGCCCCCCAAGCGCTATCGCTGTGCTAGGCATCAAACGATGCTCCCACGCGGCGGGCGAACGTTGGACGGTCATGCAGTGTGGCGATTGGGAAAGAAACAAAAATCTTTAAAAATATATACCAAAATAGMATTGTAATGGCAATAAATTATGAAGGCGATCTAATGCGTAAGAGCTGTAAACGACTGTGGGTGTGTAAATATAATTCATATAAATTTAGTTCGTTTTTATACTCTCGGAACAAAGTTGCTAAAGAGAGTATTATAGTTTTGTTCACATAACGGTTGTTTGTAGGTCTTAAAACTAAAAGAGTCAGATATAGGGTTATATATACCAAAGTTATCAGGGTGACGAGTAGAGTTGAAATCCGGATGTCTGTCTGTCCGTCCGTCCGTCCGTCCGTGAAGCTGTACCTTGTATTTCTTGACTTCATAAGAAGGTTAAGTTCGAAGATGGGCAAAATCGGCTCACTGCCACGCCCACAAAATGGCGAAAACCGAAAACTTATAAAGTGTCATAACTAAGGAATAAATAAAGATATTAAAGTGAAATTTGGCACAAAGGATCGCATTAGGGAGTGGCATATTTGGACGTGATTTTTTTGGAAAAGTGGGAGTTGCCCCGCCCCCACTAACTTTTTTGTACATATCTCGAAAACTACTATAGCTATGTCAACCAAACTTTACAAAGTTGTTTCATTCAGGCACTTCCAAATACAGTTCCAAAATGGAAGAAATCGGATAATAACCACGCCCACCTCTCATACAAAGGTTATGTTGAAAATCACTAAAAGTGCGTTAACCGACTAGCAAAAAACGTCAGAAACACTAAATTTTACGGAAGAAATATCAGAAGAAAGCTGCAGGCTTTTTTTAAAAATTGAAAATGGGCGTGGCGTCGCCCACTTATGGACCAAAAACCATATCTCAGGAAGTACTCGACCGATTTCAATGGAATTCGGAACATAATATTTTCTTAACACCC